CACATGATTTCCAGGGGATGCATGGCCAAGGCGACCTGAGCTTCCCCAAGGCTGCCCAGGGGTCTATAGTATGGTGCACACCATAGCAGCATGCCCTCTTCCATGGCTGTTATGAGACCATTCTTGGGGAGCCTGGGAAAATGCCTCCAAGTGCTCTGCTGAACCATCAGGACAGCCTGGCAGGTAAGCAGCACTTCACAGTGGACTCCACCCACCACCGCATGGCTCTCCTCCAGCAGAGCCTTCTGGCAGACTCAGGAAGACCTACTGTGTCCCACAATACTTCTCTCCCCGAGATGATTTCTTCATTAGTATCATCACTCACAATCATGAAAAATTTTAAATGTGAAGAAAAGTAGAAAAAAAAAGGGCCATAAATACCCCCAAACCCACCATCTAAACTCAATAATGGTTAATATTTTGTCATATTTCATATACCTATTTGATAAATTATCTCAAAAAAATTAAATATCATGACACTTTACTCCTAAATATGGAAGCATAGACTCCCCCAGATAAAGACAGTCTCCCAAATCACTAAAATACTATGATCACAATGGAGTATGATGCTCTTGCTCAAATAACTACTCCATATTAAAATTTCTGAAACTGTCCTCAAAATGTATATTTCTGATTTTTCTCCAGAACCAAAGATCATGCAATGCATTTGATTATGTTCCTTACACCTGTAATGTAGAATAATCTCCCCCCCCCTTTTTTTTTTTTTTTATAACTCTGACCTTTTCAAGAGATCAGGCTAGTTTTCTTGATGAATGACCCCTACTTGGGGTTTCAATATATGTATTTTAAATCTTAACTGCCTAAATACAAATTTTCAACCTGCATCTCTTTTTGAAGGCTAGCCACTTGTTAACTGATGAATTCTTTAACTGCTGAAGAAACTGCAGGTTCCAACTGATTAAAATCCAAAGTCTGGAACACAGATGACTTGCAGATTTAGTCTTCAAGGTAATTTTGAAGAAATCAAATCTTAAATTTACAGATGCTTAAATTTTTAGCAAAGGTAAGCTTACCTAAGCAGGTTGGATAGTGGTCTCATACGTTTTTCAGAAAGGGTACTTGGTGACAATCAGATGACTACGTGCTCACCTAGAAGCAGTTCTGTACTGTGTGCCAGCCCAGACCTCTGACCTTCCAGTCTGAGGTTCTCATTCTCCATCTGAAGACTTGGGTGAGATTTACTAAGAGGGTAGGACAGAAGGGGCTGATATCTATCGAATACTGACAATGTCTTACATGCTACACAGGACCAGGAACATATACAGTATTTAAAGGATGGAGAATATATGTGTTTTAAAGCTATTTCATTCAGGTAAAATTAGGTTTTCACTCACTACTTTTGAAACTATGTCCATTTGAAAAATTTCACCTGTCCTTATCAGAAGACCAAGGGTAAAGAAATGACAAGTTTGATGCGGTCACTTAGAACATAAAGAGGCTAAATAAATGTGAGATAGCGCTTCTGGAAAAGCCTTGGGGCCCTTTGAAACATATTATAGGCCTAAGTGTGACCTGCACCACTGCTGGTGATGGGTGGGGTTGGAAAAGGGGGTTGTTCCGTGGGAACCAAAAACCAAGAGTCCTATTGCAAGTTTAAGAATACACACACAGGATCCCTTCTAAGGCCACAACTGGGAAACAATTTGGGTGGCTAAGTGGACTATTTGGTCCTGGGCTAAAAATTTCAGTTATTACCCAAAACATACAGGGACTCCAAAAAGGTTCCCTTGAGATAACATTTCATGTCCTTAAATAAGGACTCTACTGGACTCTGAGTCACAATAAAGTTATGTCTATTTGATGCCAAAACAAATGGGGCAACTGGTTAGCTCCATGAAAAAAAACAAAAAACAAAAAACTATAAACAAAATAGTTAGTTGAGGCTAAATTCACTTGGAAAAAAACTTCTTAAAAAATGTTTATTTTTCAATTACAGTTGACATACAATATTATTATATTAGTTTCAGGTATAGAACATAGTGACTAGACATTTATACAACTTATGAAATGATCGCCCCAATAAATCTAGTACCCATCTGACACCATACATAGCTATTACAATATTAATGACTATATTCCCTATGCTGCACTTTACATCCTCATGACTATTTTATAACTACCAATTTGTACTTCATAATCCCTTTACTTTTTCACCCATTCCCCAACCACCCTCGCATCTGGTAACCATTAAAATGTTCTCTATCTGAGNTATTAAGTGCTCAATAGCTAAATGACAACAGAAAAAATTATTTTTTTCTAATTTTTATAATAACTCAATATTTATGCAGATTTATTTACAGAATTTTTTCATACATACCAATTCTTCATTCTGCTTTCCCAAAAGATCACTACTGAATGCAAGCTGACTTACACAGACCACAAATCTGTCAGGGAATACACGGAGTTCTGTACAAAATGAAGAAAATCAAGTTATTAAAAGCATCCAAAACCAAAGAACACAGAAATGCTTGGTGCCAGGTTCAGTTACAGCAATAAGCATATATATATATGAGACACATGTCTTTTGCCCCCTCCCCTCCTTTCAGTGTTTGCCGTCAATAGGGCGGGGCAAGCACAGAGCTCTAGGGAGAGCCAAGAAGGCTACAAATTGGTCCACCTGAGCCCCTGGACCATTATATCACATGAAACCCCCAGGCAGGGCCTTTGCAGCCTTCCCTCTGTGTCAGTTTGCTGTCTTCTGTTCCAAATTCACATCTGGGCAACAGGATCAACGTTTTCTAATGAGTGTGCAGACTTACATAGGAAGAATACTAGATAAAACTGGAAAATGTGACTTGTCAATGTTCTTACTAGTTTTGCTATCATACCCTTGGTCAACTGGTTTTAGAGAGGTCCCCTAAAAGGGAAGGCAAAATCTCAATCAATTCAATCAGGCTATGAAAACAGTAGTTTCATTAATTAGGAATTAATAATCAAACTATTAAGGAAGTGGTTAAATATGCAATAGTAAAGATGATACAACTACAGCACAGTCACACTAATTTAATTATTACAACCTCTTAAAGCAAAACCACTGACTTCCGGGTGGGGAAGCCTGAATGAATCACAGAACTGAACTCCTCAACATTCAATGAAAGGAATACAACATGGTAAAATGCCATCTGTATCTCTCCTTCTCTCACCTGTCTGTCCGTCCATCATCATCTGTCCATCCATTTATCCATCCATCCATCCATCCATCCTCCACCTATCTCTGGAGTGACGTCTGGAGTGATGTTTAGCAGATACTAACAGTGTATTTTCTGGGTGGGAGGGGAGGACCTACACTTGGTTGTATTGCTTATTTTTATAACAGGTGTCACATTTATAACAGAAATAAAGCAATTTTTCCAAAAAAGAAAACTTTCCTCTTAGATGTGACCAATTTTTTCTTAAAGACAGATTACGAACAGTAAGTGAAGCCTTTTACATACATTGTATGTTTCCAACAATGAATGACAACATGAGGGCACTGACTGAGGCAACAGCATATCTCAACCTGATACACTCAGAAGCCAAGCATGAAGGTGTCAATTATGTAAACACACACCTCAAACACAGCTAGCACCTTCCGCACCACGTGGCTAGGTTAAATTATACCAAAGGCCTAATGAGTTGATGTTCCAGTAACAGCTCTCAGCTCTTCCCTTACTTCTCACCTGGACCACTGCGGTCTCCTTGGTGGTTACTCTTGCCTATTCCAATTTATTCTACTAAGTACAAGCCAGTTAACAGTTGTAAAAAGCAGCTCCACTTACTATGCTCAGAACCCTATTGTGGTTCCTCAGTGCCCACAACATACTATGCAAATATTCAACGCCTTCCACGATTGGGACTTAACCTGTCATTCTGGTCTTACCCCATTAGTCTTTCTCAAGTAGAAACTCCTGCTTCAGGGGGCCTGGATGTGTTTAAACTTTGACCCCTCATTGATGCTATACCTGGTTAGGTGACCAGCAGTGGACTTTGAAAAGCCAAAAAACCCAAATTATCAAAGCGGTATTTATTAATTATTTCTTAAAATATCTTACTGAGATAAGTGGTAAGCAGTCTGCTTCCCAATTTATGGAAGGGGAAACTGAGTCACAGAATTCCTTATCTGCCTCCCCCTCCCACAAAAATGTCACAACATTGAAATACAACTTGTTGGTAGATCAGAATTAAAATCCAAAATTATCAGTTCTATTTTTAGTGGATCAGAACTAGAATTCAAACTTAATCCAGTCTATTAAATAAGTCCTCTTTTTTGTTCTTCCATTTCTTCCTCTGAAAAATAAGAATGCTAGAATGGCAGATTCTGAACATTTTGGTGCCAAGTATTGTATAAACAGAAACCAATTTCTATACCCCTTTACTCTGCTTATGTCATAATTGAGATTTGAATTACTTTAATATTTAAATAATGTAAAGATTTAGGCAACGGCAACCCTTACCACAAAGGGTAGCTAGGCTGTACTTTAACAGACAGACACAAGGCTAACCGGCTTATTTTGCTAAGACAATTGAGTAAAGTGGAAGGCCCCATTAAGAGTGTACCATATTCAAGTGACGCAGTTTAAAAAGTGCAGATAATTGTGAAGATTCCAAGAGAAAACATCCATACAGTTAGTTTTTAAAGTCCCTGTTTCATAACTTATATGCTAAATTCATCCAAGGAAGTTGAGCTAGATTTACTTTCCAATGCTCAGATAACTTGGAGAACGGTCGTTAGCATCTGACTTAATATTGTTGTTGGCTGAACATGTTTGACATCATTTCCTCACTGGACATCTTGACCTGGGGAAATGAGGGGGAAAGCTGGCCTCGTCACACACCTAGGAAAGGCTCTGACGGCTTTGGGCTGGGAAAGCATTTTCTGGTGCACACACTTGCGCCATACCCCAGGGCCTCGGTGTGTAGACAATGATGAACTGATTCATAGTTTAACTGCCTGTCGAGTCACTCTGGAAGCTCAGTGAAAGTGCTGAGATGCAGCAGGAAAGTACAGCATAGTGCAAAAGTACAGCTCATTGTTCTCAGGCAGGCAATAAACAGTGAAAATTGAAAATAAAATAAAATAAAATCACAAATGTTTGGAAATACTGTCACTTAGTACTTCAATTTCATGAAGGCAATGAAGCAGGGAGGAATCTTTATTCCTTTATTTTCATCTCTCTCTAGGGCAAGCTAATTGTGCAAAATACCTGACAACCCAAGAAATCTGTTTCTTACCAGGACTCTGTGAACGCGAAAAGCAGTGAAGGCGGATCCCTCTCCTAAGGAAATAGGCTGTGATTTGAAAGCCAAAACCTATAGAGTGAAAGAGGACATCATTAGGTTGTAAGCTTGTTTGCCACTGAATCCCATGGGCCTAGCCCATGCCTGCCATCCAGTACGCATTCAGTAATTATTTAGCAAACAAAATGAAACAAATCAATAGAGGGCCTCACATGAGAGGAAGGGGTGAACATTACAATCTTGGCTATTCCAGGAGGCCTGGCCATGGCACCTAGGTGGCTCAGTCACTTCACCTGTAGAATGGAATAAAAGCGGAGGTCTGACAAAGAGGCCTGGTAGCCTGGCCCTTCACACGGGATCTTGAACTCAGGCTGAGCTGGTACATGGATCTTGGCCACTTCCTGATACAAATTACTTATGAGCTCACAAAAGAATCGTTTAATACCTACTTGAAGATGTGTGCATTTTGCCTGTAAAGTAGTTATTCTTTTTTTTTTTAAATAACATTTTTTTAAAAAAATTTTATTGGGGAACAGCCATGGTCATTGGTTACACAGTGCTTTCATGCTACAATGGCATAGTTGACTCTTTTAAGGAGGGCGCAGCCCACAGTGGCCCATGTGAGATCAAACCAGCAACCTTTGTGTTATCAGCACCATGCTCTAACCAACTGAGCTAACTGCTCACCCCCTGTAAATAAGTTATTCTAATTCAAGTACAGTAAAGCCATTATATAGAATAAGATGAAAAGAAAGTACATGAGCCAAAACAAAACAAACCAAACACAACAAAAAACAAAAGACAAAGAAAATTCTCTAATTCACTAGAATGGACTAAATGAAAAAGACCAAAAACACCAAGTGTTGGCAAGAACGTGGGTAAACTGGAATTCTCATACCCTGCTTTCAGAAGTACAAATTGGTATCACCACTGTCAAATCTGCATGAATATCTGAAACAGAACTTAAACACGAATATATAGTGTTTATATAGACACTTTTTTTTTTTTAAAGATTTTTATTGGGGAATTGGGGGGATGGGAACAGTGTTGGGGAATTGGGGAAGGGGAACAGACAAGTTGCTGTCGTTTTTGTTCTTCAATCTAGTTGTGGAGGACGTTGCTTCACTGGCCCAAGTTGGCACCATCATTGCGCTCTTCCTGGGCGAGGCAGATCAGTCGCC